GGCTGCCTCCTGCACAGACCCCACATAGGTTGTGCCCGCAACCAAGGTACACGCCCTTGACCAGAATCGAACCTGGGACCCTTCAGTCCGCAGGCCGACACTCTATCCCAGGGATGGGCAAACTTTTTGACTCGAGGGCCACAATGGGTTCTTAAACTGGACCGGAGGGCCGGAACAAAAGCATGGATGGAGTGTTTGTGTGAACTAATATAAATTCAAAGTAAACATCATTACATAAAAGGGTACAGTCTTTTTTTTCAATAGTTTTATTCATTTCAAACGGGCCGCATCCGGCCCACGGGCCATAGTTTGCCCACGGCTGCTCTATCCACTGAGCCAAACCGGTTAGGGCTCAAGTTTATGGTTTTGATGGCAGGCTGGTGGGGTGTGAGGAAGCATTAAGCAACATTTCAGATTTATTATTATTTTCTAAGATTGAGAATTGACCAATGAAAGTTCAATGAAGTCTCTTCAACACTGTGTCTCACAGAAAGAACCAAGTTTTTTAAAATATATATTTGTATTGATTTCAGAGAGAGGAAGGGAGAGGGAGAGGGAGATAGAAACATCAATGATGAAAGAGATTCATTGATCGGCTGCCTCCTACATGTCTCCCACTGGGGACCAAGCCAGCAACCCAGGCATGTGTTCTCGACCGGAATCAAACCTGGGACCCTTCAGTCCACAGGTTGACGCTCTATCCCCTGAGCCAAACCAGCTAGGGCAAGAACAAAGTTTTTAATATGTGCCCTCAGGTGCTGGCATCCCCAGGCTTATTAGCATTTTCTCTGAGCTTCTAATTCTTTTTGTTATTTCAATGAGACTTTTGGAGAGGAGGGCAGAACAAAATACTCTTTAGCTATTTTAAAATGTTATAATTCAGCCTGGCCAGTGTGGCTCAGTTGGGGTCACTGGTTCAATTCCCAGGTTGCAGGCTGGATTTGATCCCCTGTAGGGGGCGTGCAGGAGGAAGGCAAACAATGTTTCTCTTGATGTTTCTCTCTCCCTTCCTCTCTCTCCAAAAAAATAAAAATAAAAAAATCAGTAAAAATATATTTAAAAACAAAAATATTATAATGTTGTAATTCAGTATTTCTTAATATGAAAAGATATTAATGGTATATTGTTACATAAAAAGGCAAATCATAACACTTCATTATAGTATAGTATATTTTTTGGAAAAAATTATGCCTATTCATAAAAAATAACTGGAGTGTGCTCTCCCTCCTGGGAGCATGCCCACCCATTACCCCTCCCCTCTTTTTCCCCACAGGTGTGTATCTCCTAAGCTCTAAGGGACCCCACGAGACTGGCAAACAGGGGAGCAATGGGCAGTGACAGCTTGTCCCAGGTTAAGCCCCTGAGCCTGTCCCAGGCCCTCCCGCCCCCTCCCGTTCTCGGACTCTCCAGTGAGTGACAGCCCATTCCATTGCTAGAGCCAGAGCAGCCCCGCCTGGACACTCTCCTGTCCCTGCTTCTGCCCTCAGCCCTTCCTTGCCCCACTGTCCCCGCTTTGACAAGGTGCTCTCAGAAGCAAAACCCAACAAAGTGGGAAGGATATTCACCAAGTTGTGAAGAGCAGATTTCTCCAGGACTTTAAGTGCTAGTTTTCTTTTTTTCTTCTCTATATTTTCTCACTTTTCTATTTACAGTGAATATATATTACTTACGATAAGAAATGTTACTTTTTAAAAACAGCTGGAATATGACTTAAAATTTTTTAAAAAATACCAATTTTTATAACAGCAGAGGAGCTGTATCGGTGTGTTGGGGTCAATAGATGTTTAGGTTCTTTGGTAGAACCGGAGGAAGGAATCAAAGATCCTACCCACTCTCTTCCCTGTCCGTCTCTGTCTCCCTCTTGTGGTGCCCATCCCTAGACCAGCCTTCTGCAGACCTCCCTTATCTTCTAGCAAAGGCTGAGCTCAGCAAAGGATCTGAATCGGAATAATAAGAAAGAGTTACCCATGATGCATAAGCATCTCACTGGAGATGAAGACTTAAGCCAAAGAAAGAAATGTAGGCACTTTCCAGCAACTGGGGAGGATTATAAGAGGACAAAAGCATCCTCCTGCTATTTCTAAATTTCCATTATTCAGGTTGACACCCACGCTGCTTAGCTGTGATGCCAAGGCCTAAATGACAACTATTCCACTCTCTACATGTTAATACCGCAGCCCTCCAAAGCCAGGCATGTTCACCATCGCAGCAGATGAAAAGGATGGTGAACATCAGGAAGAAACCTCTGCCAAAATATTAAAGTTCAAGAAATAAAAGTGCTGGGGACGAGGGGGGCGAGGCAGTATTGTTTCACAAGTTCTCTGAGTAGCTAAACCATCTCTGGACTTATTCTTCCCTAACCTCTAACTCTCCAAAGTTTGTTCTTCCTGTTCCAAAGGCCTACTTATTCCAACAAGAATCACGAAGGATACTCCTTAGTGTTTCATCATTGTCACCACATGATTCCATCAGCAGCAGGTGCCAAAACTCCATACGTCAGCCAGCCATCTGTCACCAAAACCTGAATTGGTCAGAGCTTGCCAATATCACCCTAACATTACATATCTCCCCCCCCCAGCCACCCCCGGCCCCGGATCTCCACAACCCATCCCTGAATTTGCAACACCACATCCTGTTACCCAAGGAGATGTTCCCGGGATGGGACCACTCAGAGCAACAGGAAAATAGATTGTTCTCTCCCTCATTCTACTTGCTTTACTCACCGTTGGAAATAGTGTAAACATGAGTTCTAGTATTTTCATGATTCTACTTTTTGAAGAAGTACAATCTGATAAAACCAGTTTATTCAAGAATTAAAAGGTCTAGCCATGTGTACAAAGCCATGAACAGAACAGAATCAGAACAGTGGTCAAAAATCAAGTAATAATTCCAACTTTTCAGACATCACTTTGGAAAATAGCTATTCCCTATTAATTTAGGTGTTTTTAAAAAAGTTCCAAACTATGAAAGAACCAAAAGGTTTAATTGATATACATTAGATTATATTATTTTGCCAAAAAATACACTAATCTGACAAATAGTTTATATTATTTAATGCCAAAAAAGCAAATAAAGGACAAATAAAACTCTGGAACACACAATGTATAACAAACTACTATAGAGGAGGTGCCCATAAATAATATTGTGTCAAAGACTAATTTCAGGTGAGTTTTTAAGGAAGAAGGGTCCTTTGCTAAATACTAAGTTTTTAAAAAATTTCAGAAAAAGAATTGGAATAGATAAATATCTCAAAACTATTTTAGATGTCTGGGTAGTACTTTCACTCACTTAAAAAAGTGTTCTAAATGTGAAGTATAGCCATCAACTAGAATTATCACCACTAGAAATTAATATTATCTATGAAAGAATTCACTCCCACACATTATCCCAATAAACGTGAAAAAAAATGGCCAAGTGATAAAAGTTACTAGATGTTCATTTTAATTTAAATGGAGGAATTTTTCATTAAAATATATTCCATTAAAATATATCTGAAGGCCTCAAAGGTGAGAAAAATTGGAGACAAGATGACGGGACATCTGTCTACAAGCCTCGCTTGGGGGTCCTCAGCACGGCTGTATGGGAAGAGAGCTTTAGCCTTGTGGTCCACGTAAGCGGACCTCACTCCTGCATCATGGCAGTCGCTCTGGAGCAGCGTTTTAACAGAAGAGCCTACGGAGATTTAATGCAAAGTTATCGCGGTTCATTAGCCCTGCAGACTGCTGCAAGCCATTTCTTTACACAAAGGTTTTACTTTGGTTCCCTTGGATCTAAAAATGGGAAATGACACCCAGTTTGGGAATTTTCGCTATGAATCATCTCAGTGCACGGAAAGAACTGGTGATGAGCATGACCTGCGGCATCTGGAACATGGGAAGGCCCTCCTGCTATCTAACCGGATCTGAGGTCAGAGTCACAGGTCCATGACCGCGCACTCAGTGCCCCGCACCTGGAAGGACCGTCTTAAAATGGAGAAGGTAGTCGTGAGTACATCCCGAGGGAAATCTCACGCACTGAGACGCTCTGAAACACCTGACATGCTGATTTTGTCTCTGCACTGTCTTATTTTAGCAAGAATCCTGTTTGGTGTAGCCAGAGACCCCCCTTCACCGCTGATGTAGTCAATTCCCATTCATCGGCCCCCACTCTGCTCCTTGCCTATCAATTCCCGCTTTTCCCTGTTATATTCAGAATCGAGCCTAGTTCTGTAATGAGATCTCTTTTTCCCTCTTGCAACAGCTTTTCTGAATAAAATCTGGTTTTACAGCTTTAACTATTGTCCAGCTCTGGTTTTCCTGATAGCACCAAATTAGCTGTAAGTATGCTTAAGTCAACTAACCTTTCTGGGTTTCAGTTTACTCATCTGTAAATTTAAGAGGGATGGAGAAGATGATCTCTAAGGATTCCCGCCAGGTCTAAACTCAGGAAGAAATAAGGTACAGAAAAAATCAGCAATTTGGATTTGCTGGAGGTCGGGGAGCTATGAGGCCAGGACGCCTGGACTCCCAGCATAGTGTTCATTTTACAGAACCAGTCACCATTCTAAAACTCAGTGCTCAGACCCCAAACCAGACACATCCAGAGAAACGCCAGGGTGCTACTGCAGCCCCAAGGGGCTCTTTCATGTCACAATCTGCTGTACAGTTGTCTTTAATCTCCAAGCAGAAGCAGCACTACATTTTGTTTTCTGAAGTAAAGTAAGCCCAGCCAGTGTGGATCAGTGGTTGAGCGGCAACCTATGAACCAGGATGATTCCAGATCAGGGCACATGGCCAGGATGTGGGCTCGATCCCCCGTGTGGGTTGAACAGGAGATAGCCGATCAATGATTTCTCTCTCTCCCGCTCCCTTCCTCTCAGAAATCAATAAAAATATATTAAAAATAAAGTAATTTTTCCTCTCTGGAAATAAAAGTATATTCCTTTTGCCCATAAAACAGATATACAACATAATAACTAATCTCGACTTTAGATGATAGCAAAAATGAAAAGATCTCATTGTATCTCCTACCAATAGTTCCTTCTTTTTTGTCTTTAAAACTGTTTGGTTCTGAAGTGGGGCTGCCACTTCTTACTTTACCCGGAAAGACACCTAAATGCCACATGGCTCTGCAGAATGAACACAGGACGTGCCAGAGCGATTGTAAGTCTGACTCCTGGGCTGTCGAGCAGTGTGACCTCGGCGAGATCATTTTACTGCCTGCAAGCTTCAGTTACTGCACCCGTATCCAAAGGAAGTTATACAGGGACAAGATGAAAGCTGTGAACTTTAAAGGTCTAATGATGATGAACACTTTGCTTGCATGCCATGATGCAAACTCAAATACCTGTTCTCTCACCTGTAAATATAGGGTCACATTTTAAAACCTTATAATCTACGGCTGCTTGGAATGTTTCAGATATGGCACCGAATAACACCACTCCTCTGTGGTCTCTTTCAATGCCATTTCCACCCGAGGAACAGATAAGGAATAGAAGCAGTCTTTACAACACAAACACAACCATCTTCTCACTTCCTCCATCATTTTTTCTGTTATCATCCTTCTAACGAACTTAAATTCTGCCCATAGACATCTTCTAAAATGTTATATTCCTGTGACATACAAGAAGGAAAATGCTCCATTACCTAGTGGCAGCAATGAGCATTTTCGATATTTTAAACATTTCCATTTCCCGTTCGCTAGCACACTGTGACATCACTGCCTTCCAGTGTGTGGGCTCGTTCTCTAACCCTGTTTCTATTTTGTCCCCTCGCCTTCAATGCACAGACTGCAAAGGTGCCATTGTTCCCTTTACCATTCAGTGAAGCAGCTTAAAAGTGACTTTATATTTGCACATGGCTTCGCTCGGTAAACACCCGTCTTCCCTCGCACTTGAGCTGGGGCGGTCAGCCGCGCACCTAAAGGCAGGAGCTGGGCGAGATCAAATAGCAAAACCGAGGCCCAATGGGAAGGCGGGGCGGGGTCAGCCCACCTCCCAGGCGCCCGAGTCCCGGACTCCAAGATAAACAAAGGAAGTGGACGGTGTCACCGCGGCAGGTGCT